TTGATGAAGATTAAGAATTTTGCGTTTTATTTAAAATTTCCGGAAACTTTTCGGTCACAATGTATAGCTGCTCCATAAGCCTTTTCGGAAGCGTCACAAAATGCATGGAGTTGCACCGATGAAGCAATCTGCTGTCCAAAAATATGCCTATCTATCTGAAAATGGTGCAATGACCTTAACTCGTCACAGAAATTAATCCATCTGGTATGTACTTCACTCGGCACAGCTTCGTCCCATGATAAGTTGAGTTGCCACAGATCTTGAATTAGTATTTTTGCTGTTACTAACACTGGACCCAAAATACCCAGGGGATCGAATATTTTTGCTAAACTAGAAGTTATCGATCTTTTTGTTATTCGCTTAGATGGGGTTAAATCAATCCTTATGCTGAATTTGTCACGCTTTGGTTGCCACGATAATCCTAATGTTTTGACTGATGCTTGGTCTTCATTGCTGAAATCTAAATCGACCTCTTGGTCCTCTTTTGCTATGTCTTGAAGCAGCAAAGGATTATTAGCACACCATTTTCGCAATTTGAAACCAGCTGATTCCAATAAATCGTGAAGTTGACGTTGTATTTCTAAAGCTGTGTCAAGACTATCTGATCCACTAAGACAATCGTCCACATAAAAATCATTTATAATTGCCAAGGCTCCAAGCGGGTATTTAGTTGATTTGTCTTTTGCTAGTTGCTGCAAACACTTCGTAGCCAGATATGGCGCTGACCTTGTGCCATAAGTTACTGTATTTAATTGGTAAAACTGCAATGGGTCGTTAGGCGATCTTCTCCACGCAATGATTTGGTATTTTCTATCATTTGGATGTATAAGGATTTGTCTATACATCTTTTCAATATCTGTGCAAAATGCAAATCTGGGGCATCTGAAACGAAGTAAAATGGAAAACAATTCACTCTGAATTTTTGGGCCTGTTAACAATATGTCATTTAATGATAACCCGTTGTTGGTCTTGCACGATGCATCAAACACTACTCTCAATTTTGTTGAACTACTGGTAGGTCGAATTACACAATGATGTGGGATCAAATAATGTGATGTGATGTCCTCGATATGAATTTTGCTCATGTGGGCCAACTTTTCGTACTCATCCATAAATTCTACATACTGCTTCCAGACTGCTTCATCTTTGCTTAATCTTCTTTCTAGGGCATAAAATCGGTTTATCGCTGTGTTTTGAGAATCTCCGAGAATTGATGGATTTTGTTGAAACGGTAATCTCACAATAAATCGACCATGGTTGGTTTTTTGTACATTGTTTATAAAATGCGATTCGCACAACTCTTCTTGCTGAGTTAAGTTTTTGTTTGTAGGTGATGCTTCATCGAGTTGTCAAAATTTCTCTATCACCTTTTCTATTTGTTCTTCATCGTCCGAGCAAATGCCGCATGTTTGCATCTGCACACCTAAATTGTTGTCAGTTATTTTTCCTATCACAATCCAGCCCAGTAACGTATTTTGCAATATTGGAAGATTATTGCCAATTTTAATCTGTCCGATCGACAGCAGTTCATGTGAAAATTCTGCCCCCAGTAAGAGATCAATATTACCCTTTTGGTGAAAGCAAGGATCAGCCAACTTAATATTACTCGGTATGTCCCAATTTGAAATGTCGAGCTGCATGCTCGGTTGATCAGACACGATACTTGGTAACACGTACGCTTCCACTCTTGCGGCATATTCATTGATTTTGGAACTAAAACCCAAATTTACTCGCCTTTGAGCATTTTGTTTCCTTTGTCCAATACCTTCGATGCATGCGGATACATTCATTGGATTTTCTCCTAGTTTTTTGATGAGTCTTTCCGTTACAAGATTTACTTGTGAACCGGAGTCTAATAATGCTCTACATTCACTTTTTGATGTCGTATGCTCTAATATTTAACGGCGTGCTGTCCGCCCAATACCCAACATAAACCTGTGTAATTTCATAAAAGATGACAGCTTTATTGACTTACTCGAATTTGTTATTTTATTTGGGTTAGTGCATGTTGCATCATCCAGATGTAAAAGAGAATTGTGTTTTTTATTGCATATTTTACAATTGCCTGACGAGCATTCTCTTGCAAAATGGCCAAACTTTAAACAATTAATGCACAACCGCATTTGTTTAACTAACTGAAGTCTTTTAGTGGGAAGTTCTTGTATGAATGACTTGCACGTGTACAATGGGTGACGGTCATTCTTGCATGCTGGACATAGTTTTTCGTAATTTGATCCTTCGTTTGTTGCAGCAACTACTCTCGATGTGTTTAAGACCTTTACGTTGAATCCTCTGCCGAAAGCCTCCAGTGACTGAAATCGGCTTTCAATAAACTGTAGAAGTTCTTCGAACGACACGAGTGAACGATTATCCTTTAGAGATTGTTCAAATGCTGTTTGAGTTCCTCTATCTAATTTCTTTAAAGTGAGGTGCACCAATATTGCATCCCATTCTTCTATTAGAATACCCTGTGCCTTTAAGCCCAAAATGCACTCCTTAGTGACATCATGCAGCGATTTTAAACCTGATGAAGTTTCCGCAGTTAAAGACGATTGGCTTAACAACTTGTTGAGTAACGCTGTAATGAGTAGACGTTTATTGTCGTATCGAGATCTTAAAATTTGCCATGCTGTGGCATAATTTTCTGTTGAAGCTGGCAAATGTTTGATTAAATTTTTCGGTTCACCGATTAAATTGGTGGTTAAATAAAACATTTTTTGCATTGGTTTAAATGGTTGCTCGTCAATGAGCTGTAAAAACAAATCGCGAAATTGTACCCACATTAATGGGTTTCCGTCAAAACTTGGAAGCGTAATTTGTGGCAATTTTACTGATTGCAATGTTACTGTATTTTCTGAGATACCATCACTAGAATTTAACAATTTTAGCCTTGATTTTATTAACATCAATTTATTGTGTAGTTTTGTTTCTATTTCAAAAAACACATCCCAACTGTAGTCCCTTACCGTGTCTGCAGTGGTGGAGTTCCATATTATATCATTGTTTTGTTCTAACTTGCTGAGATAATTTTCCAGCTGTGCCTGACTTGTCCTGTAAGCCACTTCTTGTTGCGGTTCTTCAAATGTTGATTCTATTTCCTTCATGGTCTTTTCAATGACGCGAATCAGCGCCCTTTGATTTCGTAACGGTTTTGTCACGTTTTTGTCTTCGGTCGACACCGGCTTGATCCCTTCTTGTTTCTTATCTCCTTCAATGGTTGCCATTTTTTACGTGAAAAATTAATACCTGTATGAAATTAACAATTGGTACCAGATGAATTTTGACTGAATATAATTGATCACGTGTCTTAATGCAATCACGTTATGTGTACATGCACCAAATTCTTAGCTGCCGTAGATTACGCACCAAGTGATGATCCTGTTAATGCTGCAATCACGTCGGGGTCACCAAAATGATAAGAACGCGTTTGTTCTTATTAATTTCCAAGAAGTTATATCAAACTTCCAACACGCACATGCACGCGTTGGATGATATATTTTGTATTTATTAATGGTAAACTGCCGAGCACTTAAACTCGTAGTTTGCCTTACTAATCAAATTTATAATAAAAAGATCAACTCCAAAATTCTTATTTGTATTTTATGTGTTTATTTATTTCTTTATTTATTTCCAGGTAGTTTGGACAATTTGTTGTTAAATGTACTATTTTTTACCAGTTGTTACTCGTCTGACCGTTCAACCAAAAAGAGGAAGTCTTTTAGCTTGAACCCAACACAGAAGCTGCTCTCATGTCCCTAATCAAGCTTAAAGCTTACTTCATTCTCCTTTTGTTGCCAAACAGCTGATTAATAGTGTTTGACAACGTTAAGAAGATGAAGTCTTTTATGTAGCTATTACGACCAAGATTTTACCTTACGGAGATTTAACAATGTTCAATCAAATTAGTAGAAGCAGTTTAATCCCAACATGCATAACAATATTCTACATGAAACATATTCAATTTTTATTTAACTTAAAATTTTTAATATATAATAAATGCTTTATGTTTCACTAACTATTTCAGCTATTATATATTCATATACAGAATTCATATACAATCGACAAGACCAAGAACGACCCAGGTCTGTAATGGCTCACTAAGTAAGTAAGAATTGGGGCTGCAACTAATTTTAAAGCTTTATTACTTTTCCATAGACGCCAACCATGCGACTATATATAGTCTAATCAGAGGTGATTTTATTTTCTAATAATAGCAAGTCCATATCAGTGTAATCAGTGATGGAATATGTTACTAATGGAGTTGTATAACAACATTTTACTTAAGTCGTTTTATTCAAGTGACTTTTGTCGTTAAATATGTCAAAGTTTCCTTATCGCGAATCATAAGAGATATGGATTCGATGTCAAGAACAATTAATATTTGATACCGTTTCACAAATAACAAACTCCAGCAATAGCTATAACAAACTCGAAATGTTACAAAATTGGTGATCTTACCGAAATAGACACTGTAGCCGAAGGGGTTTAGAAAATATACCCACATATTGAACAATTTCCGTACAGCAACGAAAAGAAATGGAGAGAGAAACTACAAAAACCAGATTCTTTGAAACTATTTATAAGAAAACATTCGATGAAAGGAAGTTTTAGTTTTAACAAGAACACAAACCACATGCCTACCAAGTAACCTAGAGACAACTTTTCATATTTTATTTCAATCACGCAGTTGACTTTATTGTCAGTAAATAAAATTCAAACCGGGTTTTTCAACTTTTAGGTGTCAGACATCTTGCAAAATACGATCAGCACCAAAAAAATACCTGAAAACTAACAAACTCAAAAAGTCTGTTTTCAGGAATGGTTGAAATTTATGCAGATTCACCTTTGTGTAATTTACGATTCGCTTATCACCGACTCAGAGACTTAAAAAATGAACTCAAAAGTGTTCTGAAGAGTTTTCGTTCAGTTAGTGCTTTTAGTCTTTAGTGTTGGTGAACGAATGCAGTTAAGTGTCTGTGGTCATTGTTATAAAATAAGATTAAATATAATAGTATACATAATCCTTCAATTTCAGGATTACTATGCCTTTTAGGTACAGAGATTGCTTTATATTATGCTTAGTTCCAGTTCAAAGACCACCTTAAGTCCTTACTGCTGGTAAACGAAAATAGTTAAGTCTCAATAGTCAATGTTAGCAAAAGTTTAAATGCAGCGAAAATCTGCATGTCGTTTTCCTATTATAAGGTTAATATGCCTTTTGATTACAGAGATCGTTCTATATTATACTCAGCTCTTATTTGAACAGTACCTTTAGTTTAAGTTGTGGGTGGACGATTAGAGGTAAGTTTTATATCCCAGTGTTACAAATCTAGATTAAAAATATAAGTAAGCGATTATCTGCATATCTTTTTTTTTATTATTAGGTTACTCTGCCGTTTGGGTATAGAGAATGTTGCAATTTGATACCCATACATTTTTTTTCTGATAAATATTTAACTATTGCCAATTCGTGCGCCCAGTGTATATCTATCAATATACTATGGGGCTTTTAAAATATTTAACAGTGCTATGTTCTGGTAATTTTGTAAATGTTTAATGGTGATTTTGATTGTTTGCAATCAGACATGTACCGACATAGTATGGAAGGTTCTAGATACTGTACGTTTTCGATATTGAGTCCATAAATAAAGGTTTTGGACTTATTTGGCGCTTAAATAAAGTCATCATTTGAATTGTGCTCAGAAAAGTATATTTCAAAATGAGGAGTTTAGACATTATTATGTAAAATATATTAATATTTTACAAAACTTAGTATGAAATTATTTTCACATAACAAATTAAAAATTAATTTCTAATGAATGAGCAACACGGAAAACATTTTTACTGTACTAGCCGCAAAAGTATTTTAGATACTTTTTTTAAACAATTTACAGATACGAGTAGAATGTTAAACATTTGCTAAAATCAAATAATTTTAGTTAACGAATTTAATTAAATTTTCTGAACCAAAGCAATTCACTTATTTTTCTATTCGCAGTTAGACAATTTTATTTCATTTTATTTAGTGCAATTGTGGGGGTGATAAAATCATTTTAAATTAGTATTTTAAATATGTTTCGCCTCTTCCAATCTAATCGGAAACATATGTACCAGTGTTGTGGTTAATTTCAATTCGAACTGAATGCAAATCAATTGCATTTGCAACGATTTGACCATTTCAGTGTTGAACGAAAATTTACAGAAATTTGCAGTTGTGGTATGTCGAAATAAAGCACAATGGATCCTTCGTCCTGCAATTTATTGAAAACCCTTGTTGGTAAAAACGTTTCATTTCATTAGTTATGTAGTGAATTTTATTAGGTAGAATATAGCTATGCTTCAAATTATTTTATTTAATATATTTTTGTTGAAATAAATGCAGTTTTATGACTGTAGGCAGTTTGTACTTAGATTGAGAGATCAAATTTTATTAACAATACGAATAATTTACCAGCAATGTTTTTTTTTATAGATTATTATTATAATAGATTATTTAGATTTATATAGATTATACATTATTTATTGTGTGTTTTTTTATAGACAATGATATTTTACATATTTTAATATGAACTTTAAGAGATAATAAGTTCATAACGTTCATTAAAGATAAATATATGATATTATAAATAAGTTCATAACAGATTAATATCCATAACAACGTGTCTCATATAAAATAAATTCATTTAGATAATGCAAAAGATAGCCGTTGTAATACGACAAAAAGTAAAAACGTATTATAAAATACAGCTAACATAAAGACCCTATTTTAGGCGTTTGATCCATTATCATTTTGATAAAAAGGTGTACGTATATTTCTTTAATCGACATATTAGGATCTTTTTTTCGTGTCATAGTATGGAGAAGAGAAGATGGAGAAGATTTCTATAGCAATGTGAAAGTTTCATTCCAGTAATTGGTGGAGACAGACATGAGTAAGATACCTAGTGATACCTAATGGACTAGGTGTATATAAATCGTAAAGCATAGGCGTGATGCAAGTAAATAGGGCTTAGGTGGAGATATTAGAATCATTAGATAGATACTTTAGCAAATATCTATCTAGAAAATATTAACTTATCTAAAATATGTATCAAGCAATTGAAAATAAGTTTTGTGTTTTTGTTCTGATATACTGTTTTGATAGTATTTATTGATATAGTGAATGGATTTTCATACACAATTACAATATTATATTATGAAAGCATGTTTCCAGCAAACTACATATGACTTAAATAAGTTCTAAATAACGTATAGACAAATTTCCAGTTTCATTTAAGTTAATTTAATGAAGCTTTTACGCTAAGAAAAGAGTTGTCAATATACTATTGTTGTATAACAATATGTTAAAAAATATATAATAATTGGATTAATAAATATCTAGAACAATTGGTTGATTTTATAACTCCGACTAATTACTAATAGTAGCTGAAGCATGCATTGTATTTTTTTTTAATCTTTGCCGTCTTCAGCAATATTATTTGAGATGTAGATATTGGAATCACAGTCGCAATGAAACGGTTGGCGACTAAGTCATTCGTGCCACAGGTGATTCCAAGAGAAGGACGCCAATGGTTCCCGAAGAAGGCATATTTAGTAAATAATATTAATACGTATTTTTTACAGGATGTCAAAAAGCTGTGGCAATCCTGCCGCCAGTAAAAATCGCATTGCCACTGATTGGGATACACATACATCTGGTATATATATCACAGATTACATTTATAAGTGCACTAAAGACAAATGTAGCATTCTGTATCAAAATTGCTCGAAAATAAAATTGTACAAACGTGTATATCGGAAATCTATGTGGAGATAATTTATTTATTTAATTCCACACATTTCCAATTACGTACTGTAGGGTAGGTTTTCGAACCTAAATTGAAATACGTAGCTAATATAAGACAAATGAATAGCCTGAAACCAAGAATATTTCTACAGATAGACAAAGAAAGTTGAAAAGTATTGAATTACATACTAAAAGCTGTGTAAAGCTGTTTAAAATAATATTCTAAGCTGTTACTGATTCATTGGAGGTGTAATTTTTAATAATTCTATTCCTATATTATATAATTATATATATTATTAATTTTTAATAATATTATAATTCTAATCCTTAAGCTATTATCGTTGATATAGTATATATATAAATATTTGGTATTAAATAAAGATTGTTAATCGCACCTTAAAATGATTTCAGTTGACGACACTAAACCAAAAATATGAA